TTTGCCAGATAGGGGATCGACTTGATCGGCCCACTCCTAACCGGAAAAGGAGGCGTCAAATTTGCCATTGTTGCCATTGATTACTTTACGAAATGGGTTGAAGCTGAACCACTGGCAACGTGACGGAACAAAAAGTTGTCGACTTTATTTGGAAGTCAATTGTATGTCGGTTTGGAATACCGAGTTCTATCATAACCAACAATGAGCGACAATTTGAAGGAAAAAGACTTGAAGCTTTCTGTGAAGAGTATCAAATTAAACATTTCTTTTCTTCTCCATATCATCCCCAATCCAATGGACAAGTCGAGGCTATTAACAAAATAATAAAAAACGGATTAAAGACCCGACTTGATGCTGCAAAAGGGACCTGGCCTGAAGAGTTGTCAAATGTCTTATGGGCATACAGAACAACAGTTTGTCATACAATAGGGGAAACACCTTTTTCCCTAACTTACGGGTCAGAAGCCATTGTCCCTGTTGAACTCGGATCCCCGACATACCGAGTAACAAATTTCCAAAATGAAACCAACTCGGAGAATCTGAAAAGCAATCTCGATCTCATAGATGAAACACGCTTGATGGCCGATCTTAAAAATGCCGCTTACAAGCAAAGAAGTGAAAAGTATATCAACTTAAAAGTGAAGCCTCGCTCATTCCGAGTTGGAGAACTTGTACTCAAACGTATTAATGGAACAAATCCGGGGCATTTGAAACCTAAACGGGAATGACCGTTCAAGGTAAATCAAGTACTCCCAAAAGGTACCTACCGACTCGAACGACCAGATGGAACTCCCTTGCGATATCCCTGGAATGTTGTTTATCTTAAGAAATATTACCAATAATGTAAATATGACTCTGTACACTCTTTTGATGAAAATAAGAAAATAGTGTGCTCTTGAGTCTCTTGAAATTTTTACCGAGTCCTCTAACTCGGTATGATATTAGTCTTTATTTAGCCAAGTTTCTCTACTTGGACAAGGCTAGTATCTATACTTTAAATTCTTACTTTAAATAAAGACAGTCTTGACTATAACTGAGCTGTATAACTCGGCAAGACATACCTTCTCGGCCACAACAAATACCTTCAAAAGACCAAATTTTATAGCTTGGGAAGGTTAAGGGCTAACTTGAATGGATTCAAACCCTCAAGATCAAATCCTGAAGATGATTTGAAAAAAGAAAAAGTCCGAATTTCCGTCATCCTTTGATAAAATTAGCTGATGGAGCTCGTCCCATAAATCAGACTTTGTCGAAGTCTGAACACTTGACAAATTCAGCAAAAATAAAAAATGCTGGACATGTTAGTCAGAAGTAAAATACTAACGTTCTCAAGTGAACTCGGAAAACCAGGTAAGTCTACTTCACTCTACTGGCCCCAGCCTCAAGAATTCTCCCGGCTCGGAGACCATCATTGTACTTCAGCTCAGCAAACTTAATTTGTTCTTCCTGAAGTCTACTGAGGTCAGCACGATGAGCTACTCGGCTCTTCAACGGTAGCTCCTCCGCCTCGGCATGTTTGCCCCGAGTAAACTCATGAGCCTCATGCTCTTTGCGAAGCAAAACTTGACACCGAGAAAGCTGCTCCTCAAGTGTCTTAACACGCTGCTCAGATTCTATCACTTGACTTGATAGACGGAGCACCTCACTATCAAGACCAGCCTTCTCGGTTTTTAAAGTCTCAATCTCGCCTTGAGCAATCTCGAGCTGCTGGTCTTGCTCGGTGATTTTCACCTTCAATGCCGCTTCTTTAGTGGTTGCCTCCTCCTTCAGAGATGCAATTGCTCCATCTCGAAGTTCCAAGGTGTGCCTTCTCTCATCCACCTGGGCAACATTCAGTCTGAAATCATTCTCGGCCGTGATCAAACTAACGAATACACGACCGAGGCATGCCTTGGCATACTTGAACTTGTAGGCACTCAGCATTGAAGACACACCGATCTCAATTCTCGGATCCCATACCATCATTGGGACCCGAGCAACATCAATAACATGACCTGGCAGCTCGACTTTACTTTGGATGTCAGGAATTTCTACCGACTCAAAAGCCGAGAACCACTTCTCAATTGATTCTCGAGGCTGCTTTAAATTCATTGCCCTTTTCTCGTCAATGGGCAAGAAGGATCTGTCGACCAAAGGCTTCTTCTTTTTCTTCTCGCGCTGACCGACATCGTGCTTTTTCTTAGATCGTCCCTCACCAGCTGGGACACTTTCAGCGCGCCTCTTTCTCTGTCTAGTCAGCGCGACTTCTTGTTCCTCGACCGCATCTCGGTCACCCTCAGCTTCATCGGAGATCACCTCAATAACTCCAAGAAGTGGGTAATACACTGCATTTAAACACAATTACCCAAGTTATAATCATTTATATGATTTTCCGACTTCGAGAAAAAAGTTGAAAGTATACAATCGGAAAATACCTGGTTGAAAGTAAGGATCTGAAACGCTAGGACAAAGTTTAACAGCCTCCAATCGAGAATTCTTCAAAACAAGCTTGTATCCACGTTGTTCCTTCTTCAATTTGAATAACTCAGCAATCCGACCTTTCAGCTCTGTACCGAGTTTCGGCTCCTTTGTTCTTCTGGCTGCAAACAGTAAAATTGTTGATCTGTTAGTATAAAAATGAGAAAGGAGTCAGAACAATTCGGTGCAAAAAATTTGAAAACTTACAATATGCAGAATTAACATTAATTGGGATTGATATCCCGTCAATCAATAGTTTAGAGAAATTTGGAATCTGCCAGTCTCCACCAATCCACAACCACTCTTCCTAAAAACCATGAAGAGATTCTGGAATTTCGGTGATTAAATCACCGACTTTTAGTCCACCTTGCGGCCTTCCTGAGCACACAAAGCAAATCAATGAGTCAGCCACATGTCTAACAGCACATCGCCTAAACCTGAAAAAACTTATGATCTCCTCAACAGTTGGCATATCCCATTCATTCTTCTTTAGCAATACCATCAAACCTATTATCCTTTTCCAACTATTTGGTGCGACTTGGCACAAACCGAGACCCCAGTCTCGCAAATAGTCGGTAATCAAAGCCGGGAAAGGGAATCTCAGCCCTGACCTCAAAGAGTCGGCAAATACACCAACGCAACCTGGTGGAGGACAAGTGATCCTTTCTCCGGGATACGGAGCAAATAATCTAACTGTTGAAGGAATCTGAACTTCCTCTCGAAGAATTATGATATCGGCATCGATCAAAATACTCGGTTCACCTCGATTTTCATCGATAGGCTCAGGCCACCGATGTGCCGGGCGTCTCCAATATTCTTCCAGGGACATAGTGTTGTCTTCAACTACCTTATCCTCCTCGACTATATCCTTGTTCAAATTAAGTCTTTCGACAAGAAGGGATCCCATCGATAATACTCGAGAGGCAATTCCAAATCCTCAACGGTAAAAATTCTAACCTCGGAAATTGTACGGCTACTACTAGCATCGGTTTGAGAAACCATTTTTCTGAGATCAATTAAAAGAAAACAAAGAAAAATTTCAATCGACAAGAGCAGAAAATCGCGAATTAGGGAAAAGTCTTACCGAAAATTTCAGAGCCCTAAACTGGAGAAGATAAAAAAAAAGTGGTAGGAGATGGTTATCAAAAGGAAATTCGGAAGCTTTGAAGACAAAAATCAAGCAAGAGATGAAAAATTCGAGAATTGAAGGTAAACAACTCTTCATAGTCAAAACTGACCGCAATTTACAGTCTGCGATTTATGACCGTTGAGCAATCCGGAATCGACGCGTGTAACGGACGTGTCCTCAAATGGCGTAACGCTCATTCTTCACTAATACACGTGGGCCGACCTCGAAACGCCATATCACCCTATTATTCTGCCTGTTGCGCCCATTAAACGCAGACACGTCTTTTAAGGACTGCCACGTCGACAAAGCCGTTACTTGATATTGTTTTCCTGTTAATAAAAAGTTCGCAACAACACGAAGTGTTTGCACGTCGGTTACTAAGTAAAAAGATGTCGGAGAAGAATCAAGTCGGAATTACTGGGAACATTAACAACATCAGCAACCATTTTGAAGCCTGAATACCTGCTAATGTCGGGGGCCTTTCTGTTGATAACCGACTTGATTTCCCAAGGTTAATTGAAGCATCAATTATTTTATCTTGTTAATGGTTCTTTAATGTTATTTTAGGCGACAAACTTTGTTCAACTCGACGCAATTAAATATCGACCGACTTCGGACAACTGAAGAAATAAACCGACCAATCACCATGCTTCAAAACCGACGTCACACTAAAAGACAAGGAACCTGACCTCACCGACATTCCTATCAAATATTATCTGTTCAAACCGAGGTCAAAGAATATCAAAACCCAAAGCAGGAGGTGTTGTACGCTTTCAATTGGACCATCAAGTCAAAGAATAATCATTGATGTTCCCCCATTACATTACACGCCGCTTTATTGTAGCTGCTCAACATTGAAATGCAATCTAATCTACTTCGGACAACAAGACAAAATCACCGTACTATAAATAGCAGAATTTATGACTGTACGGGGATCTTTTTTGGCACATTGTACACGGACTATAAAAATATCTCGGTTACGAAGGAAAAAAACCGACTTGCTGTACTCTTGTGAAGCGATCAATAATACACAAACTTACGTTAATTTTCCTTGTAATACATTTTGCTTTTATTTATTTGAGTTGTTAAATTTCATACAACATATATTATTTTAAACATCACAACATTTAGTTCCTTATATAATATATTTAAGTCGAGAAACAATATTTTATAAGATTTATTATAATTTATTTTATGTAATACTTATTTTTCAAATTTTATCCAAAATTTATGAAAAAAAAAAAACACATTAAATTAATTATGGTGTATTGATGGATTAAATTTTTATTATTTATTTTAAAATATATTGTTATTTGAAATTTTATAAAGTTATTTGATAATTAAAATTAATTTTGTTAGAAAGATATCAGAAATTATTTTATATTTATATATGCAATATAAATGTCAAAACGAAGATCGTTATTATTTTAATATATCATAAATAAAAAGTAAAATACAAATAAGAAAAAGTTGTAAATAAAATATATTGTCCGAATTGATACAAAAGGTTGCTAGAATAGACCGATTTTATTAGTGGTTTCAACTTCGAATGGCCACTGCAAAGTAGGTTACTTAAAAAACAGAAATCACAACACAAAGGAGGTCGATAAACTAGTAAACGACACTAATAGGTCCAGAAGACAAAACCAGTCTTCAAGTCCATTCACATTCATGAGAGATAACTAGGACAACCAGAATTTGCGATATGGCCTCCCCGCATCCTCATCTTGCATGTGCTGCCACAAAGAATTATCATAAGTTGAGAATGTTAGAGGAGACTCTTAGAATACCAACAGAAAACAATAGCGGAAGCAAAACACTGCATAAGTAATGTAAACTCAAGTTGGAACACCCAAAGAGGGGGAAAATTATTACATAAAAGATTTGGGGTGGAAATCAAAATATTTTTCAAATGATAGCCTCTGTGGCTAGTCATGCATGATATGCCGCCATTCTAAATACAGTCATTTTAAGCAACGAGGCCGCACAAGAAAAATTCAAATAAGGCGTCCATTAAAGAGGTATGCGTAAAATAATAGTGAAGGTGACGAAGCATTGACAAAATATCAATTTAAAACATGAGCCTAACTCATTAGTATCAGTGGTGATCCTAGGCGAGTTGACCATGGATGCCCAAGAGATGAGAGAAGGCACCGAAGTGTAAAAAACACAATAATACATATGGTGGCGTGGTGCAATTAAATATTTAAAGTTCAAATGGCAGAATCGACCTCAAATATCCCAATAAGGAACAGAATCAAGTCACGACTACATAACTTTAGAAACAGAAAATAAAATAAACTAAAAGATAAAGAGGCAGAATAATAAAATTAAACCAAAAAAAAAAAGCTAAAACCAGAAACAGAAAATTAAAACAGTAACAAAAAATGGAAAAGAGAAATCGGAAAAATTCATAAACACGAGGAGGAGGCACCCAGGTTATGTGGAGGTCAAAATTAAAAAAAAAAAATGAAAAGGAAAATAAAAGGCAGCAGCACGCCAGAAGACAAATACTACGTAATCAGAGGGTCAGCTGCAGTGAGCTAGGGTTCTGGCAGTGCCTTCCAAAAGTATGGCCAGACTAATCTCAATTATTTCTCAAGCACAAAATGCATCAGAATATACATATTTTTTCACTGAAATGCCTTTTACTTGTGTATAACTGTTGATGCACGCATAAGATGATAAGGGTGCATATCTTACCACTGGATAGATAAAAATGTAATAAAAATGTAAGTAGTTGAATGAAAATAAAAATGTAAGTAGTTGAATGATGATGACAATCAATGGAATAAAACTAGAATTCAACAGAATAAAGCTATAAATCTAGTCAAGACTCAAGAATTTAAAAAATCATCTTTGGCACATGGTATGAACACTGAGGTCAGAACTACTGAGCTTGGAAGACATGCAAATCAGCTGGATTAATTGTCTAAGATCTGTATAGACTGAATTCAGAATGTTTGAAAAACTTCAATTTACTGATAAACAAGAACACCAGTCCTTATAACCTATACCACGCTGCCTCCTGACGCATTTTTTGGCAGATATTGAATGTACATGGTATGATGACTCAAGTAAAACTTAGACCTTAAAATACAAGAGGCACTTGTAATTACTAAACTTCATTTTATATTATAGCTGTCTCGATTATTAAAGATGAAACTTTGATAATAAGGACATCAGCCTAGAGCGCAACACATGACGACGAGAGATAATGAACCGATTATGACCTGAATTGAACTGGCACAAAAGAGGTTAACCTAATTACTCAACCCCCTCTCAAGTAGAGTAAATTGATAAGAGTTCTTTATTTTTCTTATTTCCATTTTCTCTGAGGTTGGAACTTGGGCAATTGCTAATCGATGACTGCTCAACTCAGACCATCTCCACTCGGAGAATGTGTGGAATACTTTTGATTAACAAAATATTTTACCTAAATTATGAACAAAGAAACAAAACTTTTCAGGCTTCTTCCTGGCGACAGTTTACAATTTCATATTATGAGGCTCAGTGTAGCTCAACCAAAATATCCGGCATGGGAAACGATCGAGACACGGAGAAGAAAGATGTTGCTTATACAGCTTAATTAGGGCAAAATCAGATCCAGTTCGAGACAGAACATAAATCCAAAAGCAGAGGCAACAATATCATCGTGTATGAAAACTGAAAGACATGAGTCATAAAAACTTACGAATTCTCTAACGATGCCTTTGTAGACGAGGACGGGGACGGCTAAGCCAAAGATTCCGACGAGGGCGAGGTTGCGGCGTGTCCACCGGAAGTTTAACTCCAGATTCTCTCTGGCTGATGACCACTCCTCGATCCAACGGTTTTTGTTAACCTCCATTCCTCCCCCCATTTTTTCTGTTCTCTCTCTCGCTTGAGGTGCCAAAATCCAGTGGTAATTTCGTCCGGGGGCGATACTGTTGTTCACTTGCAACAGNAAATTATAATCAATTAATCATGACCTTTAAGTTTTTTTGCAATTTAAATCAAATTTTAACGTAATTACAAACAAATCACAACCTTTTCAAAAATTGCAACCCGAACCCAAATTGATCAGCAGCGAGCTCTATGCCTACCTATTCGGACAGACAATCTCACATGTCCTCACGTTTCGCTGATGAGGATGACACACTATCACACACACACAACAGAAGACGGGTAAAAGTGTTAATTCAACCCTTACAATACAAAACAATTACTTTTGAATTTGAATCACAATTATTTCTGTAAAATTAAGGCAGAGTTCCCAGTGACTCACCACAATCCAAAGTCCCTTTGTTTGTTTTATTCAATTTTTACATGTGATTCGGTTGATTAACGCAAGAAAAAGTGGTCCTGAAGAAGAAATTGGCGCCAATTGCTCGTGATTTTCGTGCATCGGTAATGGGAAAAAACAGGTAGACCCCTCATGTATCGACCATTGCTGCATTTTTTTAATCTTATTGTCGGCCCCATGTGTTCATGTTTGCCCTTGTCGTCCGACAACAAACAATGCAGAGCACTTTTTTAATGTTTGGCTTCATGATAAATTAGGATTTCTTTCGAATCTTCATATATTTTATATCAGGGTTTTGTATGAAATCTGGTTTCTGTGTGAATTCATAAGTTTTGATTAATATTAAGGTTAATACGAAATTAGGGTTGTATTGCAACTAGAGTTATCACAAAATTAGGGTTTTTGCATTTTAGGGATTTTCAATTATTTCAAGTTTTATTTGAAACTGAATTTTATTTCTGAAATTTGTATGTTATGTTTATGATATAGGATTGATTATATTCCTATGTTTGATTGCAGTGAAATTTTTTTCCTTTTCTTCAAGTATGGTGGTACTTTCATCAAGTTTGGAGATTCCACTGAATACTTTGGTGGAAAATTCAAGACAGTGTATGGCTTAGACACTGATAGATTTAGATACTTTGATTTAGTAGAAGAAGTAGAGAAGTTGGGGGTTAAGGAGTTTGATAAAATTATGTATCAAGTACCTCAGAAGCTGAGATATGCTGGTATGAAAGAGATAGTGGATGACAGTGGTGTTATGGAGATGATCAACATGGGCCATAAGTTCAGAACTGTAATACAAGTTTGTGTGGTTGAGAGTAACCCTAAGGATGATGGTGATGGAGTTAATGTTGTTGATAATGCATCTGAAGGGAGTAATTCTGCAAACAAATTGACAGATGATGATGGTGATGTAAATGTTGGGGACCATGCAATTTGGAGATGAACACCCAGATGTTGATGTAAATATGGATGTTGATGATGATGCAAATGATGGTGATAAAGCAGTTGAGGGTGGAGTGTTAGCAGCATGTGAATCTTTAGGTGTTGCTATGTGCTCTAATAAGGATAGTGATGATGATGAGTATTTCCCAGTGGGTGTTAGCTCATCAGATGATGATCTTACTAATAAGGAACATGCTTCTGATGGTGATGAATACCTTCATGCCAGAAAAAATTAGAGGAAATATAAAAACAAGATGGTTGAAGAAAATGGTGGAGCACAAAATACATTCCCAGATTGTCTGCCTCAAATAAACTTGGATGGGTGTGAAGTGCGTGAAATGGAGATGGATGATGAGGGAAATTTCATAAAAAAGGAAGCTAAGAGTACTTTATGATCCTAGGTGTGATCATAATGCACTTCAGTTTGAGCTTGGTATGAGATTTGAGAGTGTTGACCAATGCAAGAGAGCTGTGAGAAAGGTGGTCATTGTCAAGGTAAAAACGTCAACTAATAAAAGGTAGTTGGAGGTAATATGTGAAGAGAGGTGTCCTTGGAAATTATATGCAAGTGCAGTTACAAGATAGGGTACTGTTGCTGTAAAGCAACTCCACAAGGAACACAAATTCCACAGAAATGTCCACACAAGGAAAGTAAAGTAAGATGGATTGCTGAATAGTTCTTGGAAAAGTTTAGAAAAAAATCCTAACATGACAATTACTGAAATGGTAGATGTCATTTCTGAAAAATATGCCATTGAACCCAGCAAATGGAAGCTTTACAGAGCAAAGTGGACAACAATGGAGATGCTTAGGGGTTCTATGTCAGAGAATTATGTTACATTGAGGAGTTACATGTTAGAGTTACAGGGGGTTAACAAAGAAGGAAAGTTTGAGTTTCTTTTGGGAGATCATTCTACATTTAGGGCCTTCTACGCAGGGTTTAGGGCACTGAAAAAGGGTTTTTTGACTGGCTGTAGGCCTATTTTGGGTCTTGATGGCTGCTTCTTAAAAACATTCCTTGGAGGAGCATTACTATGTGCCACACCAAAGGATGGCAATAATCAGATTTATCATGTGGCTTGGGCTATTGTAGAAGCTGAAAATAAGGAATTTTGAAGATGGTTCCTGATGATTTTGGTTTCAGAGTTGGGGATAAGAGATGGTTTGGGTTACACATTTATATCAGACCAGCAAAATGTAAGTTATTTTCTTTCGATAATGTTTTTTTTTTATATGTATATTAAATTTAAGCTTAATTAGTTCTCATTGTTACAGAGTCTTCTAAATGCTTTAAGAGATTTGGTATCTCATGCTGAGCATAGGAATTGTGCTCGACATGTGTATATGAACTGGAAGAAAAACTTCAAGAGTGAAGGTTTGAAGTTTATTCTATGGAGGATTGTTCTTAGCACTCATATGGGTGACTACAACATTGCATTCGGAGATTTAAAGGCTGAAGATCCAGATGTCTATGATGACTTCATTTCTTGAGATCCATCTAAATTCTGTAAGGCCTTTGTTTCTCCCTTACCTAGGTGTGACATGATTGAGAATAATGTCAGTAAGACATTTAATGGCTATTGTCAAAGGTAGAGGGCAACATATAATTGAAATGCTCAAATTTGTGAGGAGTGAGTTGATGAAAAGATAACATGGGAAACTTATGGAGTTTAGTGGTCTTATTGACAAAATTTGTCCTCGAATAAGACCAAAGCTAGAGCAGAACAAGTACATGTCCAAAATTTGTCTCACAAAGCCTACAGTTGGAGACAGATTTCAGGTTGCCTATGAAGATGATCATTTTGTGGTTGACTTGAGAAATAACACATGTACTTGTAGACAATGAGACATAACTGGAGTACCATGTGTACATGCTTGCTCAGCCATACATTTTCAGCATAAGGAGCCCACAGACTTTGTTTCTGAGTACTACTCGGTTGAGAGGTACTTAATGATGTACAACAACTCCTTGGAGCCACTGAATGGAAAGAAATTGTGGCCACTTGCCCAAGGTTACCTAATCCAATCACCTCCTTTCAAGAAAATGCCAGGTAGACATATGAAAAAGAGAAGAAGAGCTCCAGAGGAAGAATTGAGATGTGGAACTAAGTTGAGAAGATTTAGTTAAGCATGACTTGTCAAAGGTGTTCCCAGAAGGGACATAATAAGAAGTCTTGTACTAAGCCCCAAGTTGAAAACCCTCCTAAGGTCAAATATTATTTCATTTTATATTTTTTCAATTAAGCATGCTATAGTTGTTTTTCAATTACCATTGTTGATATAATCAAAAAAGGAGGCCAAATAAAAATCTAGGAACACAATCAACCCAACATGAAGTTATTCAGACTAGGAGTTAGAATCCTTCTCAATTACTCAGAAGAGAATGAAAATACCTGTTAGGAGAGAGATGCCCAGACAAGATGCCTCTTTGATACAAAAAGAACGAGCCTTGGTAAATCATATAAAAAACTTATCTATGTTGTCAGTCCTATTTCTTTTATTTTGTTATTCAATTAACTTGTGCACATATATTGGTTTTCTAATATTCAGGCTAAGAAAGAATATGGTATTTTACAGTCTGAGGATATAGGGAATATTTATATGAGGCTATGCTTTTAAGAGTTATTGTGTGGTTCATATTATTGATAAAATAGTTATAGTTGTGACTCTTGCAGTTGTATTTATCTTATGTGAATACTTATGTGAGGGTATTTGATTCTTTCTTTTCTTTTCTTCTCTGTATGTGACTCTTGCAGTTGTCTTCTGAAATAAGGGTGCATCTCATTCCAGATAAGGGTGCAAGTGAGTCAAGAAGCAAAGGTTAGTAGCATGTGGGTCCGGAACAAGTAGGAAAAGCAAAAGAGTTGAAAGTAGGAATTCAAGACTGAAAGAAAGTGAACAAGTCTTGAGCACTCAAGAGAGTGCTGCACATAAATGATGATTGTCTATGTATTTATCTGTTTGATTGTCTATGTATTTAGATTAAAGGATGTTAGTGTCAGGATTGTGTTATAGTGTTTTGTGTATTTTGGGGTTTTTGGTTATGAAGATGGGTTAAGAACAGTATTGAATACTTTGTTATGGGGATTTGGTTGTTTCAAATGATGTCAAACATCATTCAGCTTGCAGAGTGGTGATGAAAAGAACATCATATCATGATATAGAAAAACAATTGGTCTTTTGGAATATCTACTTTATTGCAATTTTTGTTTGTTCAATTTAGGTGGATCTAAAAGTTATAAAAGCATTCAATAAAAACATGACATAAACTTTTTAATCTAATAACCAACACCAAAATTGAACTTTGCAGCAAAACACAAACTTACTAATTCAAACTAATCAGTAAAACCACTGCCAAAACATTGTTACATTACAAATAATTCATTAGTTCAAGCAAAAATTGCTTAAAACCTACTCCTTACATTACACATAATCATTAGTTCAAGCAAAAATTGTTCAAAACCTACTTCCAAAACAAAATTACATTACACCTTCATTTCAACATTTCTTAAGAGGATTACAACTTCAATTCAACATCTTCATTCTCTGATCCTTTGCATCCTGACCAAATCAAACCATAACAACAAGAAGAGCAGCTACAACCAAGTAAGAAATGAGAACATTCATCTTATTTTCTAAGTTTTTCACATGAGTGTGTACTGTGTTCTTAATGTTGGTGTTATATACTAAAAACTTGATTTAGATGATATTATACTTTATCTTTGTTGAATGAGAATCATGTTTTATTAAATAAGTTCTTTGTTCTGTTGTTTTGCACTTAGATAGAATGGTTTGTCATCAGGTGAACAGACGATCATTTTGTCAGTTACTTGCGGAACAAGAATTGTTGATTCACAACCTAGATGGAAATGAACAAACCATCAGAACGGTTGTAGTGAAAGCTGTACGGTTAGTCTTGACTGATTAGTTGAACTTGTACATTTATGTATTGAATAGGATCCCAAAGAGTAACAATTTGTTTTATAATGATCGTCTTAAACAAACTTAAGACTCGGTTAACTACTGCATTCTCTTAACCCGTAAGATATATACAGACATGTACAAATGGTAACTATTACTTTGATTCGTTGAAGTGAGATTCAGTTTACTGAGTCGACATACTTGTTTTTTTGGGTAATATTATTATATGCACGATGAGCTGTTAGAATATTTAACGGTCACCATGTGCGACAGTTTGATTATGTCTCCGAAGTGAGTTCATGGAGGATTGTTAGGCAAAACCCTACAGGTGGATTAAGTTCCAGCATAATAATAATGTAATGAATGGCGCTTGTAATAGCCCAGTTCTATTATTGATAAAAGTGACAGTTTTAGTTCCGAGTTTGAACTATTTTCTTTTATTAATATTGCTCGTCTCGAGTTCCGAGCCCAGTTATTCAGCTATTCAATCTCAGTTATTAATTCCGGTCCATTTATTTTAGAAATGGATTTTATTCAGTCGAGATTAATTAGTTCCAAGTTGACGAATAATCGAAACCTAGTATGTTTCGATAAATCGTCCAAGTCAAGCCGTGTCCGGAACCTAGTATGTTCGATCACGAGTCTCGCGCCTAGCCAAGTCTCGAGCCTAGTAGCCCCGTGTATTGATCAAGCCATAGTCGCTTGTAGCCTTACTTAGAATTTTTTTAAGTATGAGATCAATATTATTGAGTTTTAGAACCAAGTATTTTCCTCGGCCAAGATACCGCACCTAGCTCGTGTATGGTGCCGAGTCACTCGTGCCAAGTTTTGCGCGAGTTAAGCTCCTTGGCATAGCCGAGCCTTAGTGAGATTTTTCTAAGTATAATGGCTCATTAGTCCAGCCATTATTTAGCCAAGAACCGAGCAAGTCTCTCGGTCCAAGGTCGTCGTGCCAAGCTCGAGTAAATGCGTGCCCCAAGGTCCCCGCGCGAGTGCCCATGCCGTGCGAGAAGGAGCCCAAGTCTTGGCCAAGTTTCCAAGAATTTTTCTAAGTAATGTGGCACATAAATTCAGCCTTAG